TAAATCCCCAGCCCCAACATCTTTATTTTCAGCCGGGTGCAGTTGGGCCAGGGGTGAAAAGGCTGTCGACCATGAACAAAGGGAGAGAGCAAGCTTTACAGGGTAGTTGAAGCATGGGAGGGGGTTGATGTCTCCCGCAGGGAGATGAAAAATTTTAAGTTTCTCGGGGGTCAGTGGTGCCTCTGGTGGGAAGCACCTGGGGGAAGTGCAGGATGATATCACCGTTTTGCTGACTAACAGAGTAGCATTCTGTAGATTTATAGGGTTTCCTGTAAGCCTGAGAACCGGGCCTGGGAATGAACCTGATAAAGAGCGATTTCAGTCTCTCAGGCTGAGTGAGGGGCTTCCTGCTCGTATAGTAGTGAATCTGTGGGGTTTTTTCTCTTTAAGTTGGGAGGGGTCCAATTGTGAGGACCTAACAGTTTTCATAGATATCTATTGTCAGGTTGAGGAGTTCCCTTTATTCCTAGTTTCCTGAAAGTTTAATAATGAATAGATCTTGGTGCTTGTCAAAAGCATTTCTGCCTCTACTGAGATGATCACATGGTAAATTATACTTAAATTTCAGTGGTAAGCCAGCTTTGAAATCTTATGAAAAATCCGCTTAGTTATCAGGTATCGCCCTTTCTGTAGGTTGTTGGAATTCATCTGCTCAAAGTTGACTAAGAAGTTTTACACTTAAGTTTATGAGAGTAGGAAGGATCTGAAATTTTCTCATAATTTTTTTTTTTTTTTGGTTTTGTTATCAGGGTAATGCATGGCTTATAGAATGAAAATGTTTATTTTTCATCAATTTTCTGGAGGAATGTATATAGGATTGCTTTTATTTCTCTATGAAATGTGGTAGAACCAGAACTACCAGTGGAACACTATGGTCCTGAGATTTCTTTAAAAGGCGTTTTGTTGTTGTTGCTGGTTTTTTGCCCCCATTTGGTGCTGAGGATTGAACACACAGTGAATTTAATTTCTTTAATAAATACAGGCTGGCTCAACATACCTATTTCTTAAGTGAATTTTGGTATTACGTGTTTTGAGCAGTAAGTCTGCTTCATATAAATTGCCAAATTTATGTAGACAGACTTATTTCTAGTATTCCCTTCATACTTCTGAGGTCTCTGAGGCTTTTTTGTTTCTCATCGGGAGTGCGGATTGAATCCAGCGCCTTCTCAGGGAGGCACACTGCCAGCCCTTTTTTATTTTTGGGGACAGGGTCTCACAAAGCTGCCCAGGTTAGGCTTGAACTTGTGATCCTCCTGCTTTAACTCAGGTGTGCACCACCATGGCCGGCCCTGCGGGGTCTTAAGTGGTATCTTTACTCACTTTCCTGATGCGGCAATATTTCTGTTGGCCTTATTAATAACTTATCAACTTAAAAAATATTTTCGAAGGACCAGCTTTTGGTTACATTGATTATTGTGTTGATTTTGTTTTCGATTTCCTTTATTTGTCTTTAATTACCGTATTCTCTTCCCTCTGGTTTAATTTTTGTGCCTTTTTCTCCCCCTAGTGTCTTAAAATGGAACCCAGATTGCCCATATTAGATCTTTCTTATTTAGTAATGCAGTGTAAGCAGTTCATGCCATAAATGTCATTTTACCATTTTAGTACTTTTTTTTAGTACAACTTTTGATACATTGTTTACATTTTTGTGTGTGTGTGTTGGGGTATGCTATGCTTGTTAAGCAAGCAGCTCTGTCGCTGAGTTACACCCCAGCTCTCATGCATTAACATATGCAATTTGAAATATTTTGTCTCTTGAGTTTTCTTTATGGAACCATGGATTCAGTATTTAATTCTCAAGTGCCTTAAGACTAGCCTGTTATCATTTATTGTTTATAGTTTAATTCCATTAGCAGCCGAGAACATACTTTGATTTTAGTTGTTTTAGATTTTTTTCCCCCCCCTTGGGTTTTTCTCCGGTACCGGGAATCGAACTCACGACCTTGCGCTTGCCAGGCAGGCGCTGTGCCGCTTAGCTAAATTCCCAGCCCCAAATGTTTTAAATTCTTAAAATCTTGTTTTACGATCACTGGTGCGGGGTCTCCTCGAGACCATGGAACAGCCCTCGCAGCGTCGAGAACATCTCACGAGCTGGGGCATCTCCCGCAGCCGCGGATCGCGCCACCAACCTGGTGACCCTGGATCCCTCCAGAACCCGAGTCCGAGCCAGGCCGAGGAGGATGGGACGCTCCGGAGCTCAGGATCTCCGCGCTTGCGCATGTGCGCGCGGGAGCCGGAAGTCCCGCCTGCCGGTGCCTGTGATTGGTCCTGGCCGGAGCCCCGGCGCCCCGAGAAGGGCGAGCAGCCGGGTTGAAGGGAGCGGCGAGCCGGGAGGAGCGGCCGGGGCCCCTCACCCCTGTCAGCTGCGCCGTGGCGTCGCCTCCCTGCGATTGGCTGGGCACGGGGGCGCAGTCGCGAGTCGGCGGCCGTCGGCGGGGGCGGCCCGGCGTC